ATACATATATTTAGTGAAAATGTATTAATCTTTTTTTTTTTTTTTTGTCATCAAGCTTGAAAACAGACTCTAAACAGACTCTGTAAAAAACTGGTAAATCGGCATCCATATGAACAATATATATAAGACGACTGCTTTCTGGCACTACGTGCGAGGCTGTCCGCCTTGGTATTCAACGTTCTTGGTATATGGATGATCTCTGAGTGCGTGAAACTCTCCTGTAAGAGTCTTATATCTTCCAAATAATTTGCAAAGGCTTGCCATTCCTCCGGTGTAGAAACCATCTTCACCAATTGAATACAATCCATAGCAAACGTGACTTGGAGCTGACGTAAATTTCTCATACACTCCATTGCCCATATAAGAGCTCATATTTCCGAATGCAGGGGTGATAGATTTGCTCTCGTATTCCTTGCTCCCATCAAACCTCTAAAATCTTGGAAAGTACTATACCATCCTTGACCTGAAAAATTTTCCTGATCCTTCCAAGACCCATCTGTAAAGCACCAGCGACCCGGTATGTGTGGTAGTCTAACTGCTTCATTCTCATGTACTTGTTGGGGCACCTTTCTTATGGATTCCTGAGCCTCCCTCCATAGTAGCGATTCCGTTTCCGCCAATTTCAAAGTATCCATAGCTTCCACATCAATATTACTAAAAAAATTGTTATTCCTTGTCTTCCAAATATACCCAAAATCCAAGCAAAATGGTGGTCGTCCATCTCTGGATTTACCCTCCAAAATGGATAATCCATATTTGTAAAAGCGTCTCAGTAGGAAAAATAATCGGATTTGAAGGGACTTTGGAGAGTGCCCATACTTGTACCGCAGGAGGACATTGGAAAAAAACATGGTTAACAGATTCCTCGCAAGCTCCACATCTCGCACAATATATGTCTCTTTGTATACCTCTACTCCAGAGATTTTTCATCACTGGTATGTACCCTGATAGAATCTGCCAAATGAAATGTTTTATTTTTGGTGGGCAGCGGAGCTTCCAGACATGGGCCTTTAGCATCGTAACTGTAGGTCCATACTCTAGAGGGAACCTTTCTCGATCTGGATATACCCTTTCTACTTGATATTCTGATTTAACCGTATACCTCCCATTAGTTGTGAAGTGCCATCCTTCCTTATCCTCCAGTCGATGTTTACTGAGAGGAATACTTTCAATAATTTGCGCATCCTCTGGATCCACAAAATTCCGTAGTGCCTGAGAGTTCCATGTCCTTGAAATAGGATCAATAAGAGAATTGACAGTGAGATTTGGGTAGAGAATTTGTTGATTACAAATGGCTAGTCGCGGGTGGGTGGATGGGATCCAAGGGTCATACCATACTGAAATAGATGATCCTGATCCCACCCATTTAATTAGTCCTTTGCTAACCAGATATCTAGCCGAAACCATACTACGCCAACCATATGAAGGTGAGTAGGAGCGGATCGGTTCCAAGGGTGATGCATTCCTGAAGTACCGTCCTATGAAAACTCTTGCGAAAAGCGTATTAGGCTTTTCAAGCAAACGCCAGAATTGGTTCCCTAACATAGCCGTATTAAAATCCACCAGATCCTTAAAACCCAAGCCACCCTCCTCTTTATCTATAAAAAGTTTATCCCATGAGGCCCAATGCATCCCTCGTGTACTTCCTCCTAGGCTCCACCAAAATTTTGCCACAGTACTAGTCAATTTGGATACAACCGTCTTTGGAATTCTGTAGCAAGACATGACATGGTTTGGTAATGCTGTTAGGGCTGACTTAATTACCACTTCCTTACCCCCTTTCAAAAAGAACTTAAAAGTTCAGCCATTAACCCGATTATTCATCCGGTCCTGAACAAACCCAAATACTTGTGTCTTGGACCCTCCCAAGCTTTCCGGAAGACCCAAGTATGAACTCATTCCTCCTGTATTGTGGATCCCTAATATGGTTTTTAGTTCCAACTGAGAAGATTCCCCAATCCTAAACCCAAACTGTACCGATGATTTCTGGAAATTAATCACTTGACCAGATACTACCTCGTACTCCTTTAAAATCCTAAGAATAGTTTGACACTCTGAGCCTTGCAGAAGAACAAGCTATCATCCGCAAAAAATAAATGTGATATCGAGGGACACGCTCTAGCTACCTTAATTCCTATCAATTTTTTGTTCCTCTCTGCCTTCTTAATGTTCGCTATGAGCGCTTCCGTACACATGATAAATAAATATGGAGAAAGTGGGTCTCCTTGTCGTAAACCTCTTTGCGGAATAATGTTATCCTCGTGGGTTTCCATTTAACAGAACCCTATATTGCACAGATGAGACACACTCCATCATGAGATTGATCCAATGTGGATCAAATCCCATTTTACCTAAAAGTGCCTGAATAAAAGCCCACTCGACCCTATCATACGCTTTACTCATATCTGTCTTGATTGCCATGAACTTATTTTGACAAGATTTATTAGCTCGCAATCCATGGAACATTTCCTGGGCAACGAGGATGTTGTCCAAAATTAATCTGCCTGGAACAAACACAGATTGAGTCTCCGAAACTAGATTAGGAAGACAACCCTTTAACCGTTGACAAAGTACTATCGAAATAATTTTATAACCCACATTACAAAAGCTAATCAGACGCATCTCTGTCATCTTTGTGGGTCTTTCCGTCTTCGGGATTAGACAAATATTTGTAATATTCAAACGTGTGTCCATCTTCCCCGAACTCAAAAATTTATTAACCATATCCAACAAATCCTTTTTAATAATATTCCAAGAATGCTGAAAAAAGCGCCGTCATTCCTCCGTGGCTAACCTTAACAACCTCTGATTCATCTGTGGAGTAATAGAAGATGGGATATCCTCCAGAAAAACATCAAACTCAGATGGGGAAGTACTGCCAAATAAATCTGTAAAGAAATCCACAGCCACTTTTTCCACCCCCATAGCATCTACTATCCAATTTCCATCCTCATCATGTAGTCCCACAATTCTATTCCTAGTCCTACGTTGCTTCGTCAACGCATGATAGAACTGCGTATTAAGATCCCCAGCCGTGTTCCAAGTATTTCTACTTTTTTGTTGCCAATAATCCTCCTCATCCTTATATGCTTCTTGCAATTTGCGAGAGAAGTCTACTATTTCCTCTTGAGTCCTATTGTTATCCGATTGTACCTCCTCTAGGGCCTCCTGTAATTCTCGTATCTTCTCCTTTCCGTACGGAGGGTTATCCTTTCGCCATTTCGCAATTTCATGCCGGCAATTGGTAATTTTCGTGAAAAAATCCTGTGTCTCTCCTTCATTATCCATCCCCTAACCTCTACCTATTGATTCCAAAAAACCTTCTTTACCAATACATCTTTTATCAAACCGAAATTGGCCGCGTCATCTGGGCACTTTGTCCTCCATAAACGCCACTATGGGTCTATGGTCCGACCTTATCATTCCCAAATATTCAGTATACGAACATGGGAACAAGGAATGCCACTCTTCATTAGCCAAAGCTCTGTCCAACCTGCATTTTACCATGCCTGTTCCTCGCCTTCCTTGCCAGGTCATTTGATTTCCCCGGACCGGAAATTCTAGGAGCCCCGTATTTCTAATCATATCATTAAACGATAAGAAAGATGCTGCACTTCTTAAAGACCCTCCTTCTTTTTCATGATTCCCAGTAATCTCATTCAAATTGCCTATGATAAACCACGGTTCCTCCCTCGCTAAACCATATCTTGTTAATCTTTCCCATACTTGATCTCTTAATTTTTGGACCGGATCTCCATATACAAAGGTTAGGTAAACTTTCTTTCCTAAAATAACCGCTTCCACATCTATCATCCGGTTACTCGTATATAACACTTTGACCTGATAGTCATTATTAAAAAATAAAGCTAAACCACCACTTCGCCCCATCGGGTCCACCGTAATCAGATGGTCAAAACCTAAATGAGCTTGAAAAACCTTGAACAAAAACCGATCCCTGTTTTGTTTCTACCAAGAACAAGAAATCCGATTTATTTTTATACCATATCTCTCGGAGATAACTAATGGTCCATTTACTTCCCATTCCTCTACAATTCCAGCTTAAGACTCTCATTTATTAATAATTGTAAATTTTGCATCCGAGCTTCCTCTAAAAGTTTGAAGAGACTTGGTGTACTCTGAGAGCATGTATTCATATAGCATCTCCCCCATTTAAACAATAATTTACATCCTTGAGACCATAAAACACTGAGCCATCCGTAACATTCAGCTTCATCTACATTTGCGGAACAGTTCGTACCCTTACAAGACTCACAAATAAAAAATACATCCCCTACATATGACTGAAATACATTTGGCTCTATAAGGGCCGGAACCTCATTAATAGAATTATCAAAATCCCTGTTGTTACACAAAATCATGTATGTAACCAAACACTTCGATCCTAAGAACTCCACATAACAAAATCTTCGTAGGTGACGTCCCATGATTACTCGCAAAGAAAAACCTGAATTTGTGACATAATACTCTCCATCATTCAAGCCAAAACTCCGAGACCTTAATATATACCACTTAAATCCATAATCCTGAGCCAAAAATCTGAATCTCACTGTCCCTTGTTGAGCCTTCCTTAAAACGTCCCTATTCATCTCATGTTCCTGAAACTGGTTTGATGGGACCAGTTCAAAGGAAGTCAATTGTCTGTAATTCCATGGATAAAACTCCCATGACCTCATATATATCCACCACTCCGTGCTTCCTTCCATAAAGACCATCATAATCTGCAAAAATCCAAAATTCAAAACCCTTAAATCTCTCAAACAAGTCCAAGAAGCAGAACCATAAATCAAAAGAGTACATTTTATTCCAATAAGGCCTAAGAAAAAGCCAGTGAGAAAATAGAAAAAACCAAGGAAAAACAACAAACATGCTCAAAGAGCTTATTAAAGAAAACCAAAAAACTAGAACATTAAAAAACCAGAAAAACCAGGAAAACCAAATCTGCTTCCATAGAGAGGCCTTAATTATTCATAACAGAAGAATTAATGTTTAGCAGTCGGCTTAGGGTTTAAGGATCCCTTTTCATCGACATTCTTAGCTCCCCCTCCCTTTATGATCCCCTGTTTAGTTGTTGCCCGCTTGCGAGGTGATAGCAAAACCTGACGAAACTTCTTTGCTGGATTCCCTCCTGTTGCAACAAACAGCTGTTTCCTAGTCCCTGCCTTCTTGTCTCCATCTCCCATATTTCTGTCTGGTTCTTCAACCTCTGAAAATTCGATGTCTGGCTCAGCTAGACCACCTTCTTCCCCCACTCCCTTACCCTCCTCGTCTGTGAGATCTTGTAAGTCATTCTCGCCAATGAAATATTCCTCCACTCCCAACTTGATCTTATCATCTCCCAAATCCATGGTCTCATTAACTGTAAGCAATGTTACTCCCTCTGTGACCTCTGCAGCAGTCTCATCTCGCAGCTCTAACTCCTTTTCCTGCCTTACATGTTCCTTAGCCACCGCAAACTCCTGGTTATTGGTGATTGTAAGTTCTTGGCGTTCCACCATTAACCCTCTTACCTTTTCAGCCTCTTTTCGAACTCGAACTAAATTCTTATCCTTAGCCAGAAACTCACCTTCCTCATGATGTTCTCCTCCAGTATTGCGTAAAGGTCTTTTTCCCCTTCTGTCCCCACTATGAACCCGTCCTCTATCTGCATAAGTGTGACCTCTGCCTTGTTCTCGACGACCACCACGCTGACCTCTGGAGTCTCCGTCATCCATTCTATTATTGTTATGGTGTGAGTACGAACTCTTACTCCCCCTCTCCAGCACTTGAGTCCATTCTGCCATATTTTCCTCATACATCTTGCCTTTTCCTTTGCCAACGTACCCTAGTTGCTCTTTGGGCCTCTGGTTCTGATCTCCCTGACCATTAATCACCACTCCCTTATAGCTACGCGCCCTGTCATCTTCTTTATCCTCACCAAAATCCCTGGACCCTCGTTTCTTCACCGGAGAGATTGGACGCAATGGACACCGTTTCTTGGGATGGCAGAGACTGAAACAGCTGTCACAAAAACCAAATAACTTGTCGAATTTCAGAGAAACCTGAGCCTCCATCTCTTCATAGAATTCGCCACCCTTGAAATCTAGAGTAGTCTCAAAGCATAACTCCTTGCGGCTATCTATGAGGATCCGAATCTTACCATAATCCAGATCTACATCGGTGGTCTCTCCAATAGCATCACCTATGCTCTGGAAAGTTTCCGTAGACCAAAACTCCGTTGGAAGTCCCTTAACCTTAATCCAGAAAGGGATCTCAGAAGGATAACAGCTTGTCATCCGTGGTTTCCAGCGAGCTAAGGATAACATCCAATAGTCAAAGTGAAACGGTTGCATGTCCAGGACTGTCACCATGTCTTCATCAGTTTCAAAATGAAATTGAAACTTCCCCGATCCCAAATCCGTTCCCACAACCCTGTCTTCCATCTTCCATCTTCCAGAACTTAGGTAGCATCACAATCAAAGACTCCACCTTCTGGTCCTCCGGATTCATACATCTTCCAACAAGCGTTTTAGAGTAACTCTTGACTAGAGCAGAATTATCAAAATGAGGAACCGAGATCTTCAACCGCTTCCTTGTACTTTCACCATTCTTCATGTCTTCTGCCTTATCAACCAATTGGCTTTGAGTCATCTTTGCTGTGAGAAAAGAGGATGAAGGAAGGCTGAGAAAAATGATTTTTTCGTATCTGATACTAACCACAAAGACATGACCTCTGCCTTTATATTGTTGTCCATCATCCTCTATCACAAGCCAAAAATCAAAATCACTAATTTCATATCTTCCATTAGAGATCTGAATGACTTTGAAACCCCTCTGTTTTGATCCTACGTTTAAAGACCAGATCCGTAGCAATAACTTCTCACATCGGATCCTATCGGGACGGATCTCCTGTCTGAGATAGTAAGATCTCATGATAAAAAAAATAGCAACTCACACATCGCAGATCCTGAAAATAAATCTCTAGCTTCCATATCCCGTTAGTAACCTTAATCAGGAGCCCAAATCTTTCCAATACTTTCCCAGATTTGCATAAAGAAAATCCTCGCAAATCCTCCATTAACCATGAAACCATCCTACCTTGTTGATACTCGATCTTGCAGATCTTCTCCGCATAATTCCGATCTTGTTTACTCGATAGTCCTCCCTTCCAGACTGGATCCCATCCCCGATTTCCCATTGGAAAACCTAATCGTGTATCGCCATCGCCGCCGTTCGCACGAGATTGACGTATTGCTACATTAAATTATGATCAGTATCTTTTATCTACAAGATGTAGTCAATTAACTTAGTAAAATTTGTGAATATTGTTAGATAATTATAGCTTTATCAGTGTTTTAAAAATAAGTTAAGCAAATTTTAATTTAAAACAATCATTTATGATATACTATTTTATTAATAATTTTTTAAATAATTACAATTAATTATTTCTGATAACAGATAAGTTACTTTGGCGGAAATTTTAGTAAGTTTTTATAGCCACGTACGCATTCTATATGTAATAAAGAAAAGTCACAAATGATTGTTTGTCACATAAGATGGCACATCTTTTGGGGTGCCTTGATCGTCCAAGCATGTGCTTGGAGTTTTGTAATACTAGGTTCACAAACTAGAGTTTCCTCCTTCTTCATCAATATATTCTGTGCAACCCAAAATCCAGATCTGACTGTGTACTGTCCATTCCTGGTGTAGCTCCAACAATAAGTGTCCCTGCGATGAGTGGTATATCAGCCGCATCTACGTAGTTCGCGAGCCGGCCTAGATCGCAAGAGTTTGTTTCTTGATTAATAAGGTCACTCACTCTCATGTTCGGATACAAAACCGGAGTAGATGGGGACGCTGAGCTCGCTGGAATAGTAGGCATCCAAGGATCCTCCCATACTTTCACCTCATATCATGAATGTATTTTCTGTCTAATTCCCAGCAATAGTAACTCTCGTGTCGCCGGTATACTTGTCCACACATACGATGGGCTACTAACAATAAGTTGACACAAAGGTGAGCTCAATCGATAATACCAGCCCCGCAAGACTCGAGCTATCAGAGAATCCGGGTATTGCACCAATCTCCATAGCTGCTTTGCTAATAATGCCAGGTTAAACTCATGAATCATCCTGAAACCAATCCCTCCTTCCTCTCTAGATAAGCATAATTTTCCCATGTTGACCAGTGAATTCCTCTTTTTGGGGGGGTTCGAACTCCACCAGAACTATGCAATGGCACTAGCTAAGGCATCACAGATCTCCAGCGGAAGTAGAAAGCAAGACATTACATACGCTGGGAGTGTTAGCAGTATCGACTTAATCATAACTTCCTTACCACCTTTAGATAACCACCGACCCGTCCATCCATTTACCCTACTCCTTAGCTTATCCTTCAAGAAAGCAAAAAGCTTGCATTTAGATCCACTGATATCCTCTGGGATTCCTAAGTATGTTCCCATCCCTTCCTTCATTATGTATCCCAAGTGTGTCTTTGATCTCTTGCCTAACATCTTGTCTGATTCTGTTACCAAAGAGTAGATGTGGGAGTCGATTTCACCCTACTGTCAATAAATCGTAAAAAAGGAAACTTCGGGAAAACCCTAAGTTTCCAGAGGAACCGGCTATCTGCGAGAACCGCACAACAAAGATTAAGATGACTAAAATACTTAGAATAAAAACGAAAATAAGAGAAGTTTGAAAGCAAGAAGGTTCTTATTCCGAATCTGCGTTGAATTGGTTACAAGAAGAGTAGCCGTAAACGTAAGAACTTAGAAAAACCCTAATTGAGACGCAGCTCGCTAACAGAAAAACGGAAATATTCCTAAATGCTAGTTTTGGTGGTGAGAGCTCTGAATTTTCGTGTCTATGCTTCTGCCCTAGACCTCCTCTTTATATACTCCTCATCTTGGCTATCCGATCTTTCCATTTCGCCC